ATAGATATAGATATAGATATAGATATAGATATAGATATAGATATAGATATAGATATAGATAGATATAGATATAGATAGATATGTATAGGGTGCTAGTCCTACAGTCAGGAAGACTAATCTTCCTGAATTCAAATCTGGCCTTAGATACTTACTACAAATACTTACTTACTTACTTGTCCAGATACTGACTCTGGACAAATCACTTAACCCTGTTTGCCTTCATTTGCTCGATCTGTAAAATGAGCTCAAGAAGGAAATGGCAAACCACTCTAGAGTCTTTGCCAAGAAAACCCCAAATGGGATCATGAACATCAAACACAACTGAAACTATTGAACAATAACAACAATAAAGTTGCTTAATAAATGCCTTGTCATTCATTCATTATTATCGATAACTAGTATCTACATAGTACCTTATTAACTTTGAATAAATAGAATGGAATTAACATCATCTAATATGAAATTCATTCCCTCTATTTAAATGCATTCCTATTATAACTATTTTAAGGCATAGTGCTGTCATTAAAGCCTCTAGGTAACACTTACTACCAAGAACATTTAAAAATTACAAAGAAAAATTTTCCAAATGTTCTATTCAACAATCATTTACTAAAAGTTTACAATGTATAAGGTACTATTTTAGTAGCTGAAGACATAAGATAAATATTTATGTTAATATAAAATAAAAATAAAGTCTCTGACCTCAGGGAGCTTACATTATAATTGGTGAATAGAAAGGAGAAAGACAAATACATAAATAACTGTGATACAAGGGAGACATTGGTATGTTCAAAGGAGGAAAGGTCGAGGAAATGTTTTAAAAGAAATTTGCAGAGGAAGAGAACACTTTCCAGCCAAAAGAATCAGAGGGTGCTACACTGGGGTAGAGGAGAAATGGTACACTAATTCTGGCCTGACAATCAACACCAAGAAAGCAGAGAGGTTCTCCACCAGCCAGCACCACACCATCTATATGCTGAACCATCAGTTACAGCAAATGGAGAAATTTTGAACACTGTGAATAAGATCACTTACCTTGGCAGTATACTTTCTAGGCATGTCCACATTGATGACGAGGTTGATTCATGCATTGCCAGAGCTAACTGTGTTTTCGAGGCTCTGAAAGAAAGTGTGGAAGAGAAGTATTAGGCTGCATACCAAACTGAAGGTCTACAGAGTCATTGTGCTTACTTCATTGTTGTATGCCTGTGAAACCCAGATAGTCTACCAGAACCATGCCAGAAAATTGAACTGCTTCCATTTGAATTATCTTAGGAAGATTCTGAAGATCACCTGGCAAGATAAGGTACTAGACACTGAGGTCCTTTCCCCAGCTTAACTGTCAAGCATTCAAATGCTTGAGATCCTAACTCCAATGGGCTGGCCAGAGCCTGAATGTCAAATGCAAGTTTACCTAAAAGACTATTTTACTGACAACTCACACAGGGCAAATACACAGAGATCAGAAAAAGTGGTATGAGGACACTATCAAGGTTTCTCTGAAGAACACTGAAATTGACTTGTGAGACATGGGAGACACTAACACAAGACCACCCACATCAAAGAAAGTGCTTCTCCATGAACAAAGCAGAATCTGTGTTGTTTATGTTTAGTCGTTTTTCAGTTATGGAGAACTCTTCACGTGACCTGATTTGGGGTTTTCTTGGCAAAATCACGGGCGTCTTTTGCCATTTCCTTCTCCAGCTCATTTTAGAGACAAGGAAACTGAGGCAAACAAGGTTAAGTGACTTGCCCAGGGTCACACAGCTAGTGTCTCTATCCACTGTACCACCTAGTTGCCCAGAATCCCAGTAGCACAAAGGAAACATGAGATGTGCAAATCTGCAGACATCTCTATCCAAAATGTTCAAATGAACTATTTATGCCCCACCTATGGTACAGCATTCCAAGCTCATATTGGACTGATCAGCCACAGTTGAACACATGGACCCTTGACCCCAACATGATATCATTGGTCCTCTTTAAGTGAGAAGGATGAACAACAGTAACAGTTGTAATTGTTAAGAAAGTTTTTCCTTACATTGAGACTCAAACTGCCTCTGAAAGTTTCATTCATTGTTCTACTTGTGGTGAGGACAAACAGAACAAATCTCATTTCTCTTTCATGTTATAGATCTTCAAATATAGCTATCACATCACCATAAGTCCTCTTTTCTCCAGGCTAAATAACTCTCATTCCTTCGACCAATTCCATATGTGGAAAATTAGAAGTGATCTGCAAATGTTAAAATTTTATAATAATTATATATGTACACATACATGCACATATAAATGGACATATGTACTCATACATGTAAGCTATTTATTTATATTCTAACTAATCTGTGAGATTACTTTCTAGCTTAAGTTCCCACAAGATCCTTAACTGGATATTATTCTACAATCCATTATCTACAATGGCAATGTTAAAACTTTCTGCTATTATTCTAACTCTTCTAATTTTAGTTCTACAATATTCCAACATTATTAATGGATCTCATCACTCTTCTTCTTGACATTTTCTTTAAATTTGCCATCACTCTATCAACATATTATTTTACCTCTCATACCTTTCTCATTCCACTAAAGCTATGTATATTATAGTATTCTATCTCCTCTTCTCTCTATTAAGTATAGGATATACTTAAATAGCAGATTCTTTCTCATGATTAAGATGTGGGATACTTGTAGCAAATGTTTAATGATTTTTTAAAATGCTTAACATAATATTTTTCATTTTTTGTTTTTATTTATATGAATAAAATTGGTCTTTAATTTCATTTTATATTTTGTAATTTACTGATATTTAACAAAATACCCATTGAATCCCTGATACATTCCCTGAAAACAATTAACTTGTCAAATGACAAGCATTCTTCTCCCACACTCATTCCTCCATTTTCCAGAGTTTATAATAGCTTTGTTTAGTGGAAAGCACTGTATTATGAGATATAGGAACTGAGTTGCATTACCAGTTCTGTATTTTAATAGCTATGTGATCTTGGGCTAGTGGGTGGCAAGTGACTTAACAGCTGGGCAGCTAAGTGGCCTAGTCCATAAAGTACTGTACTTGGAATCATATAGACCTGACTTCACATCCTGCCTCACTTATACCTTGTGACCCTGGGCAAGTCACTTAAACTCTTTCAGGCTCTGTTTCTTCATCTTTAAAATGAGGATAATAACAGCATATAACATCCCAGGAGGACCTTGTGAGGCCCAAATGAGAGGTTTATAAAAGTATCATACAAATGCTAGCTATTATGTCCCCCCTTCAGTGAACTCTAATGACTCCCTAGCACCTCCAAAATAAAATGCAAATTCTTTTCCCTGCCTTCCAGTTTTCTTATGCCTTATAACCTTCCAGTACTCAGCTGATCCAGTGACTAACCTCCTGGCTGTTCCTCATGCAAGACATTCCATCTCCCTACTCTAGGCTTTTGCACTGGCTGTACTCCATACCTAGAATGGTTTCTCTTCATCTTAGTCTCCTGGGCTTCCTTTATTTTATATTGGGATTTAAATAAAATCCCACCTTCTACAAAATCCTTTTCCTGATGTCAATGCCTTCCCTCTAAAATCATCTCCCAATTTATATTTCGTTTTTATATTTAGTCTAGGGACACACCAAACCCCCAATACAATTGTCTGTAAATCTCCTCCATTAGATTGTGAGCTCCTTGAGGGCTGGGACTGTTTTTTACTTTCTCTGTATCCCCAGTGCTAAACCCAGTGCCTGGTGTAGAGTAGGTGACTTGACTCCTTCATTTTACTGGATTATAACCCCTCTAACTTCAAAATCCTGGGTTCTTTCCATTGCACTTCACCACTGCCTAAGGGCAAGTCTGACCTTGAAGGTTTCTGGATGAAATTAGCGCCCCCTGTGCAGAGGATAATCTATGCTTGTATTAACGTTAGGAGGGTAAGATGACCTGTCTGCGGCACATGTGCAGGACGGCACATTCATTAGGACGGTCAAGGTCACTTTTAGAGGCAGTGTTACATTTCGGGTTTAGACAGACAAACAGACATAACAAATCCGAGTTTGGGTCCGGGATCTGGAAGGGCCCAAGACCAGAAGCGGCTGGTTCTAAGGCTGTGGGAGGAGCCAACCTGAGTGAGTGGTTTGGGCTCGCGAGCAAGAAATGGAGAACGACCCGGAGCCAAAGAATCGATTTCAGGTTCTTAATCGGCTGGACAGCTTCCCGGGGCCGAAAAATGGGGCTAATCTGCACCAGGTGAGGCTCGGAGGGAGCCCCTCGCCCGAGGGTTCCTAAAGAACTGGCATTAGAGGGGACAGGGGAGAAAAGAAGGTCCTCTCCTGGTGGACTGGAGATCCAAGGGGGGCATAGAGGTTTGCCTCGACCACGCAGGCGCAGGATCCACACGGCGCTTAGCCATTGTATCTGGCATAAAGTAGACGCCTAACAAATGCTTGGTGTTGTAGAAAGGGCTCCTCCAGGCTTAGGAAACAGACGCCGGCAACCTAGCGTGGGCAGGTGTTCCCAGGTCGGCGTCTCGAGGCCCCGCGAGATCGGGTGAGGAATGGGAAACCACCGCCTCAAAGGAGACCTAGCCGGCTTTCAAGCCCAGTGCGGGAGCCGAGGGTTCTGACTCGAAGCGCCGTTACCTCTGCGCGCAGCCAGAGCGGAGATCTCGCGATAAGAAAGAGCATGAAATCTCCCGCCCCAAGGTGGGGAGGGGCATTGTGCGTGCGTGCAGGGGAGGTGGAGGGGGTGGAAAAAACAGATGATGTATGAAGTGCGGGATGGGCCACTTGAAGTCTAAGGAGACCAGGCGTTAGCGGCACCTTCTCCCCACCAGGTTCGAAAGTGTCCTCCTGTCTCTTTAACAAACTGACAACCAAAGGGTGGGTCCCTCGAGGGCGGGCGGACACTCCCATTGGCCCGAGTGGGCTAGAAGTGGGCGTGGCGAGAACGCTTCTGTTTTTAGAGTCGGAGGCTACGGGTGAGGGGCTTGGTGCTTCATCCTTGTCTCTATTGGGGGAAGGAAAAAAAAAAGGCTCCTTGGGGAGGGGGCGAAGTGGGGCAGGGAAGGGCGCGGGCAGAGATCCTCGGCTCGTCCCAGGTACGGGTGTGGAGGAGCCCCCGAGGGCTCAGGGCGAGGCCCTGCGTGGGAGATGCCCCACGCGGCTGTCCCCGTCGGAGCCTACCCGACCGACTGACCGCGCTGGCGGCCGCCCCCCAGCCCCGGCCCGCCCCAGCGCTCTCTCTCGCCCCTGTTTTGCAGGTTCGTGGCTGGCATCATGGCAGACAGGGCCTTCACGAATCCCTATCCAGATTATAGCAAATCCCAGGCCTTGGGATACTTTGACACTTCAGGGAGGGTGAGTTTTTGGTTTTTTTGGTTTTGTTGTGTGGTTTGGTTTTTTTTGGTTTGTTTTGGGGGGGGGATTGCAGTGGGGGTGGGGATGTCATTCAAGTCCTGCCACTTTCCCCCCATCCCCTCTCAACAGGGCCTTGGCTCCGCAATTAGATTTTCCTGCTGGTAAATTAAAGGAAAGAGAAAAGGATCAATTAATCAAAACATTTATTAAGTTCTTATGAAGTGCCAGGCACGTGCGTAGCGTTTGGGGACGCTAAAAAGAGGCAAAAGACAGCCCCCTGCCCTCAAGGAGCTTACATCTAGTAGAGGAAACAACATCAGTCAACAGACACCTATTAATAACCTGCTATGTGTCAGGCACTGTGTTAAGTGCTGGAGATTTTAAAAAAGGGGGGGGGAGCAAAAGATAGTCCCTGCCCTCAAAGAGTTTACAATCTAATGGAGGAGACGACATGCAAACAACTATTTATGTACAAATAAGCTACATACAAGATAAATAGGAAATAATCAAGAGAGGGAAAACACTAGAAATAAGAGGGAAAGGCTTCCTGTAGACAGTGGGATTTTATTTTGAACTTAAAGGAAACCAGGAAGATCAACAGCCTAAAGGGAGAGCATTGCAGTCCTGGGGGAAGGAAGGTAATTTATTAAGTACCTACTATGTGCCAGGCACTGTGCTATGCAAAATACAAGTAATATCTCATTTCATCTTTACAACAATCTTGGGAGGTAGGTACTGTTATTATCCCCATTTTACAGTTGAGGAAACTGAGGCAGGTTAAGTGACAGGAAGAGGTTAAGGCAGCTTTGTTGAGCAGTGTACAGTGTAGTACAGTGGTCTGGAGGGCTGAAACAAAACTCATCTCTTTTCCCCCAAAACTCTCTCTTCCTGCCAACTTTACTAATACTGTAGAGGGGACCACCATCCTCTCAGTCACCCAGGCTCATAACCCGGGTGTGCCTCATCTCTTTACATACACTCCCAACATGTATCTAATGTGTTGTCACCTCTTGTCATTTCTACCTTCACATCTCAGTGAAGGTCCTCATCTCCTTTCTCCTAAACTATTGCAGTATCCTTGTATTTGGTGTCTGTCTCAATGCTCTCTCCATTCTAATTCACTTAAAGAGCATATCTGACAGTATTACTGAGCTCCCGCCTCCTTACACAATAAACTCTACTGCTCCCTGTTCCCTTCAGGATCAAGTAGAAAGTCTCCATTTTTTCCCAAGTCCTTAACAACCTAGCCCCTTCCTGCCTTTCCAGATATCTTACACTCCACTTCCTCCTCACCCTCTATGATCCAATTAACAGCACCAACTTGTCTTCTTCTCACCTGACAATCATCTCTGGATTTAATGTCTTTTCACTGTTCCTCATTCCTTGAATGCTCTGCCCCATTGCCTCCTAACTTCCCTGGCTTCTTGCAATACTCATCTCTTTCAGGTTCTATCAACTACAACACTTAAAATGGATTCTCAGCATTTGGCAGCCATGCTGATGAAGGGACTCTGGAGTTCATGTCAAATAAGTAAACGTTGGCAGAACTCAGGATGTTTAGCCCCAAAAAATTTGGACTTAAAAGGGTTGTCAAGGATTTAAAAGGGCTGTCATGTAGAAATGGGATTGGAATTTTTTGTTTTGCCCCAGAGGGCCAGACTAAGACTACCGGTTTGAAGTTACAAAGTGACCAAGTTAGGCCAAATAAAAGGAGAAGTACTAATGCTAATACTTTGAGCTGTTAAAAAGTAGAATGGGATACTTTGGAGGTGATACTGGACAATCTCCCTCAAGGCTGACTGAACTCTATTCAGCAGTGCTAGAGAGGCTATTCATTTTTAAGTACAAATTAGAACTAGAAAGTTTTTTGTGATTCTGTGGTACATAAAAGAAAAGGACTGTGATTGTGATTAGAGAAATGAGGTTGGATTTTAGTCTTTAAATGTCACTGCAGTGAGAAGGTCTTTGCAATCTTGAAATCTCATAGCTCCATTTAGCAGTTTAAGACTAACTCTGAATCTAGGCTAACTGAATATTGAGATGCCACAAAAATAGGTCCTGACTTGTTCCATAAAGCTGTTAAAACATTGCTTATGTAACATTACTTCATGCCAGAACCTCAACACCAAAGGCCCTGAGGATGCAGGGTGTGCCTTATATGTAAAATGCTTTTAAGGAGGAAAGTGGTATTCATAATTCCTTTGATGTTAGGTATTTAATTTTATGCTGTGCTATCATTTTATTTCTTTCCATTTTTACTTTGCTTTATTTCTGTTACTTCACCACAATAAGTTAGTTCTAAACCACTGAAGACTTTTTTTGTCTTTTTTTAAAAAAGTATTTAATAGAGCACATCTCTATTGTGCTAAGTCTAAGCCAGATTCCCCAGACCCAAAAAAATAATCACAATTTATTACACAACACACTTTTTCTGATAGGCCCCAGAAAACAAAATCAAACAAGCAGAAACAGTTCCAAAAAACATTAAAATACAGGGGATCAAATGTCAGAGATCTGCCCTCTTTAATATGTTAACTCCCAAATTTCACTTTAGACACATAAATAGTGGAATGTATCTAAAAAGAGATATTCTATGAATAAAAGAAAGTACTGGCATCTTTATTGACTTGTAAGCTAGTTTTTGAGAGTTTCTTCAGGTTATTTATTGCCACAGTAGCAAGTATTTAATGACTTGCTACAAATGAATACTGTACTACATCGTAGAATGGCTTTATTATATATTATAGGCTAGGCAAAAAACATATTTCTCTAATTGAAATACCCCCATCCAGTCTGTTTTTTTTTTCTTTGAAGTGAAATGAGGATGATAACAACAGTTTATATTGGCTAGGTACATGAGATTATATTTATTCCTCACCATATACTGTCATTGATTTATAGACTTTTTATGTGCATTTCATCCCAATAAACATATAATATTCTTAAAGCTTCTAACCTGATAGAAGCTTAAACGATATTTCTTATCTTAGTGAAACATAACATTGGATATTTGCTCCACAGAAAAATGAATAGTGCAATGAAGAAGTTATATAGGTGTATGTAATTGATAGTTGTGTGGCCCTGGTACTTGAAATTTGAATAAGATCAGTGGATCACTTTTTTCTTCCATACTACTCTTAATGAGTTTTTAATAACAAAAGTAGTTAAAATATACCTTTAGGGGAAATAATTGGGAAAAAAATATTGCTGTTTGACTAATAAAACAGCAGCTTGAAAAACCAGTTAATATCCTCTAATGCTTCAATTTTTAAAATCATTGTAACTTAATAGATTAATAGTCTGTAGACATAGAGTAGATAATACATGGAGAATTAAGCTGTAAAGTATTCCCATTTTCTGGAAATTTTATTTATCATTAGCTTTTTGTTTGGTTTATTTAATCTGAGAAACCTTTGTTCTATTGAATTAAATTAGAAGGAAAAAGAAAAGGGGTATTGTCCGTGTCTCAGTACTGAGAGTGAGTATGTTGTAGTGGAGAGTAGTATACTTAGAAGCTTCAACAATTACTAACCATGTCACCTCGGACAAGTGGCAGCTACTCTGAGCCTTTGTTTCATCATCTGTAAAATAGGGTTACTGAGATTTGAACTCTCTGTGGCAAGAGTTCTTGAAGGTTAAGTGCTTTATAAATTAAGTGCTATTGTCATCAGCAACAAGCATTTACGAAGAGATTATGTGCCAGGCACTGTGCTAAATGCTAGGGATACAAAAAAAATAGCAAAAACAGAGGCTCTGCTCTCAATGAGCACATATACTCTATGAAAACGTGTTTTACTATTGTCATCTACCTGAAACTTTCTAGGAAGGTTTAAGGAAATTATGTCACCAAGGCCCACTCAGAATGGCAAGCAATCATGGAACTCTTGAGTAATTTAACAAATAATTGGATGGTTTGGACAAGCAGAAAAAATGTGCTCCTAAAGGAAAATCAAATGCCAGCCCATTTATTTGGGAAAAATTCTCATTAAGTGCCCACTAAATGCCAGGCACTCCACTGGGCTCTGGGGATACAAATAAAGAGAATGAAATAATCATTACTCTGAAAGAGCTTGCACTCTCATGGGAATAGATATTTATGTAACATCTTAAGGTTTATTCACATTATCTTGCTTGATCCTCGTAACAACCCTGCAAGGTAAATGCATTATCCCCATTTTACAAATAAGAAAACTGAAGGAAAGAGAGGTTAAGGGACTTCCCCAAAGTTGTACAGCTAGTAAGCAGTGGAGGAAGAATTTGAACTCAGGTCTTGGACTCCAAATTTGACACTCAGTCCATCATACTGCTAGGAGAATCAAATATCCTGTGTTTTATCACATGTATTTTTTTTCTTTTTTAATATTTACAGCTTACTACTGAATTCTCACAACGTATAAACAATAAGATTCGAGAGCTTCTTCAGCAGATGGAAATGGGCCTAAAATCAGCTGACCGTCGGGACTGCACTGTCTACACTGGATGGGCAGGTATGAAGACCTCACAAGGAGCTATCTTTTACATGAAGACAAAAATATTTGCTGATCATTACTGTCAAGTTGAGTAAGCCACTAGCTTACTTCTTGTTACCTTTTCTTTCAAAGAGTTTTTACTAGCAGATCATTATCAATCTAGTGGGCAGAGCCTAAAAGAATTGTCAGTTTTATTTGGAAATTGCATTTGTGGGGAGTAATGCTAAAAATATAAGCATTTATAGAGTGCTTTAAAGTTTACTAAACACCTTCCTCTCAACACTTACGTATGACAGTCAGTGGAAGTCTTACCCATTGTACAAAGATTAGAGAGGCTTATTGAGGCTAAGTCATTTGTCCACGATCACATAGCTAGGAAATACCAGGCAGGAATCAAGCCCAGGTCTTCATACTCCAGATCTAGTGCTCGTTCCACTATGGCAAGCTAGTCAGTTGTAGCCTCACTACATTTGATGTTCTCGTTAACTGTAGAGAAAGTATGCTCTTTAATTTCACAGATGACACCCACTCTGGAATAGCCTGCTGCAGAAAGGAATTAGGATTCAAAATTACCATGAAAAGTCATGAAAAGAAGCAAATAATTAATTGTGGTAAGGACACTTGGTCTAAGAGCACACTTAGCTACAAGATGTGGGAGTGTTCAGACACATGGAAATACATCTTATTAACAGCACAGTACTCATGAGTCAGTAGTATCACACTAGTTGAACCTATATAGGATGGAAGCTCTATAAGTTAATCTTTCTATTGTACCTAATGCTAATCACACTAAGTTTTATCAAGTTTCAAAACTTGAGTCTCTGACAATTTAGAAAGCACTGAAAAGAAATTTACAAAGATGACTCAAGAGTTATACAGTGAACCAGTGAGGGAAAATAAAAGTACTGAAATTTTGCCTAGAGGAAGGAATCTGAAAAGAAGCTTAATAGTCTTGAAAGATAACCAATTTAGAGATCTCATATTTTCCTTTTCCTCTGAAAATAGAAAAAGAAGAAATAGGTTTTTTTCAGTATTTGGAATTTAGGTTAGGCATAGAGAAGATTTTTTTTCAATAGCAAGAGTAATTAAATATTAAAATTAGAATAACTCATACTTGCTGGGATACACAGAGTGACATAGATTTAAAAAAAAGGCTGGCCATAGAGTTAGGAAAACCTGGTTTCAAGTCTTCTGACAAGTACTGGGTATGTGAGTGAAATTTATGATTGTTTTTCTCTTGGTAGTTAAAAACAATAAATCAAGCCCAGATTTTGAATTCTCTCTTCCTACCATATCTAATGCTTATGCTGCTATTTCATTCCTAGAAAGAAGAAAATCTTAAAAATAATGTGGAGTGGTTAGGTGAATTTAAGGGTTGATAACAAATACCATTCACCTGTAAATCACCAATTCAGGGGGAATCCAGGGTACTAGCATCTGAGGGTTAAGAGTACCCAAGTAGAATATGGAGCTTTTATTTCAGCTTTTGATAAGTGGTTTGACCTTTTCACAAAAGCCTTCTTGAAACCAAAGTTTGAATTGTCATAGAAACTGAAAAGTGATTTTGTGTGGAGTTAAAAGAGGCTTCTTGGCAGAATGGGGTTTTACCCATACCGTACCTCTTCTGTATGCCAAGTTTACTTCGTCTTTCTCTTCCCAAACACCTATAGCATGTGTTGCAGCTTAAATAGCAGTGATACAAAGCAAATTGTCACACTAAACATTTGAGTATGTTTTCTGTTGCTGGGTATTTGGTGCTTCATAATGTTAATAGCATCATCCAGATAAATTTGTTTATTATTTTGAGGCAAATATCCTAATACTTGCTGGTGTTTTGATAAGTAAAATGCTTTGCAGTGCCTGTGTACAAACAACTTTAAGTTTTAGTATAAAATATAACTAAAACTTGCCACTTAACTATCCTAGACAATATTACTAAGTATCTTGTACTTATAAGAAGATAATCTTACTGCTCATACAAAATTATCACCTAGAATTTCATTTTATAGCAAAGGCATTCACAGCAGTGCTTAAATATGCTCTAACTATGTAATTAAATTATTGCTTATTCAGTTACTGATACATTTTGTTTTGTCTTGCTAGAGCTCATCTTAATCCTTTTCTGTCTTGTACACCACTTATTGTCCATGTTATTTATTCTTGAAAATTGCCCCATTTCCTTTCCTAAACTTATATATTATTGAGGCTTATTTTAATTTTGAATCTTGCAAGCACATGGCTGTTAGTAATGTACAACATGAAACCTACAAGACATTTTGGTATGCCTTTTTTTTGGTGGTAAAGTCTTTACTCATACTCTAAACCTAAGGTGATAACTTAGCATCTTGTTCAGTAATTGAAAACTCCCTTGACATAACTCTCTGAAAAGAAATACTCCACTAGGTCTGTAATGACAAAAGCATAGGGTATTCTTTCAAGATACAGATCGTAATTCATCTATACTTCCTTTTCCTGTGCAATGCCTATTCATATCTAAGGAGTTTCAATAGGAAAAAGAGAAGAGAGTAGCATAACAAGAGTAATGGCCTAGAAAAAAAAAAGAATTGGAGGATTGAAGGTCACAGTGAGCACAAAGTACAGAATTAGGGGTAATACGACAGAGGAAAAGATAGGATGATAAAACATTATGATCATGTAAAGGAACTTCAGGATTCATGACCATGGAAGTGGAACATCTGTGAGTAATGGCAAGAATAAGGTATGACCATCTCTGTCTGAAGGTGGAGTGGAGAAGTAAGCTATGGGATGAACTAGGAGATTAAGGTGTTTGAGGGAGGGAGTGTGGATTGAAGTATGGTTTTTGAAGTCCCTTAGGGTAAGGACAGAAATTGGGGTGGAAAGGAGGACTGAACCTGGCTCTGAACTTATTGAGGAAGAAGGAAGACTGTCCTTGCTATTGGTAGATACCAGCCACAAGAGTCTTGATTGGGTGATAAATTTAGATTGAGTAGCTTCAGAGGAGTAGAGTTTACTCAGTGAGGGTGGTAGTGAGAGAGTCTAGAAATGGTAATGGGAGCAAGAAGTATTCCACCACACCCAGTGAGTTGGATGGTGTGAATACGTGTACAAACCAGTACTGGAGCTGGCCAGGGATACATTGTTATCAGGAGGGAGCTAGGTTTCAATGAGAACCAGAAGATTGAGGGAATAGAAAAAGGAAAAGTTTAAGATGAAAGTAAGTTTGTTAACTTAGGAACAGGCATTCCAAAGAGCACAGTGGAAGGAGTAGGTAGATGTGAAGTGGGCATTGGTGAAAGGGAGGGGTTGGGATTGGAGGTGTTGAATAGGCATTTGAGTGGGGATGAGAGTAGGAGAGCAGGCAGGGGTTATGGGATGGGCTTTGTACAGTGACAACCAGGGGTTCAGAATCACTGAGAGGGGGAGAGTCAGGTAGGGTGGAAGTATACCAGTGCTGCCTAAACTGTGGGTCACGACCCGATACAGGGTTGCAGAATATTTGGCAATAGCCAAAGGTTTCTGAACACGTAACAACCAAAAATTAATTGATTAAAAATCAAATGCGTAATGAATCCGAGGTGTTTCTGGCAGCACTTGCCTGTGTTGTGTTGTGCAACTTCACTGCAGCCTTGGTTCTGAACACAAAGCATGCACACCTTGCACTGCATATGCCCTCAGGCCACACAACACCAACAAATGCTGCCGAAATGGGAAAAGGGGTCACTAGCGGAAAAAGTTTAAGAAGCCCTGAAGCATACTGCCCATTATAGAATGAGTTCAGGTAGATTATCAGTAAATGAAGAGAGGTCTATTGAGGAAACAGGTGATTCATGTCTTCAAAATCTTCCCTTGAGGTCCAATCTGTGGCATTTTGTGATGGTGTAAGGCCCAGGGGGCACAACATATCAGTCAGGAGCAGGTAAAGGTATGGCCTGGGAGGGTCTGGTCAGGAAGCAGGAGCTGGCAATTTAAGATGGATCTGATCTGGAAATGGCCTAAGTAGTACTGTAGAAGGCCCTAGAATGAAGCCAGAGGTCAATGCCTAGATCCCAGACTAACACAGGGTTCCCTGAGAAGTTTCAGGGATGAAGATAAAGGCCAGAGGTGAGTGTTCATTTTATTTATGCAGTGGTAAAAAGAAACATTTCATATGCAGAAAATGTCAACTCCTTTTGGTCTCTCTCCTTATTTTGGACTTCCTCTCAATATTTAGTTAGACTTTTTCAGCAGAATACTTAAAAGTTTGTATTGTTCACTACACTGTGTGAAGTAAACTTCAAAAAACCCCCCTAGACTTAAGCACACTCACTACTGTCTTTGTGGGTATAGAGTCATTCCTAAATACTAATTTTTTTAAAACGGGGAAAAATCTTGAAATTTTTACTTCAAGACTGAGTGTGAAAGCTTAACATCATCTTGCCTTTTTGGAAAAGAAGCAGAGGATGTAATAAAGTGATTAGAGATGTTTTATAGACTTTAAGCATACGGCTTTTTTCCTAAGTTTGGCATATTTACATAACTGGTATTTTATTATCACCCACAGTTAATTTCTGTGCCTCATGAAAGCTGTATACCTCGATTTCTGCCTTCCAGTCCTTTGAAAAGTCCAGAGAGTGAATACTAGGTGGTTAGTACTTTATAAGCAAAAAATCCATTATTGTCTACTGCCCATTTTGGAAGTTAACAAGGCTAATTTTAATTGGTTTTCTTGCAGAGTTGGAGATGAGCTATTTTGTTTATTCTGGTCAGGAAAGTAACTTATATGCCATACAAGAATTACTGATTTTCAGTGATCTGGAAAATCAATAAAATATACAAAACTAAAAAATACTGAACACAATCTGATCTTTGATTCAAAAAGCACTTTAATATTGTATAATACCACAGGATAATCATTATCAATGTGAGTTACCACTCAAGTGGTCAGTAGGAAAAATATTCCTTAATAGAGAGATCCTATTGATAGACTACTAGCTGTCATCCTTTTTTTTTTATTTTTTAACATTTGAACACCCAAAATGTGATAATATATTTCAATT